TTGAAATTTAGGGGCGAAAAAAAAGGAAAGGGAAAAGTATAGTAAACGTACTTGTGGTCCGAGCCATTTTCAAATAGGAGCATGGGGTTCATTTTTTTCTCACAAAAACGGGGCATGTGTTTGGACTTGAGAGTTTCCATCTAAATGCTGAAAAAAGAAGGTGACGGGGGTGTATAAAAAAGAGACGCATGACTTTCTTTCTGACGGAGTTTAGACGGAAACCCTCAAAGTGAAAGCACATGTCCCACTTTGTGAAAAACATGAACCTCATGCCCTTATTTGAAAACGGCTCAAATCACATATACCTTTATTATATTTTTCTCGAAGGAAACTCATGAGAAATAATGTAAGTGATGGATAGTTATGGTCACATACAAAAATAAGTGTGGGGATAATTTAGTGATGAAAGGAGCATTAAAGTATAGTAAAAGGTAAGTGAATGTTTATCAACATAGATATTTTCCAGTTTTTCATAAAACTAGAAAATTGGGAACAAAAAAACATGAAAATGTGTTTATCAAAAAAATTTGCTAGAAAACTAGAGAAAGAAAAATAGGAAAATGTGTCTATCAAATCAGAACAAAGTTTAATGCTTAATGAATCTATATTTGTTTTCTTTAATGAAAACTAGAGAAAGAAAAATAGGAAATGTGTCTATCTTTGTTTTCTTTAATGAATCGAAGAACAAAGTTTTACTAGTTTCCCAATTTTGAAATGCAGAACGCTACAGTGAATTTGCCTACTTACACCTAGTGGTGGACCTGGTCATGCTTCTTGCCTGGTTTGGTTAGTGACCTGACGGTTCCTGTTCCGATCAGGTCCCCTTTATGTTTTCAAAGTGAAGAGTTTCAAAAGAGCCATTGGGTTGCCAACCAATAGGAAAAAAGGAAAACAAACTAGCTGTTGGAACAGATTTTGGTCCAAACATTCCTATACCCGGGACCAAGTACCCTATTTGGGTTGATCATGTCCGGTTTCGGACTAGGACCGTAATATTGGTCTTCCAACCGATCCCAGAATCGGGTGAAAAAAATTGATGAACATGTTTTGAGATTTGAAAAGGGAAAACTGGAAAATGAAAATATAAATAAGAGAACGGAAAACCAGAAAATCAAAACCAAGAATTGGAAACAAAAAACAGAAATGAAAATTGGAAAATATCATTGTTAGTAAAATAGCCCTAAATATCTCTAATACACGTTTTTAGTCTCTTATATACTCCGTAATATATATCTTACAATTTTCATATGATGGACCAACATGTTTCTCAATTTATTTTAATTCTTTTTAAAATTATTTTAGCTCATTTTTCATTTGTTTTGTGCCACAAATATGATTCAACCAAGGTTTAGTGGCTTGTTGGAAAGTACTCCAAATTTATGATCTTTTCACTTACCCAAAGATCAAATTAGAAGATAACATACTGAGAGAAATCATACAAGATAGACTTAAATTAAACATATCAATCCAACACTATGCCAAACAACAGATTAACACAATTTTGTTATGGATAGCAGAAGGATCATGACCACGGCGTTGTGAGAAGAAAATTTCTCCGCTAATAATTTTGTGACATTTTTTACAAGAATTATTCATGTCGTGGTCATGACATTAAGAACATTGTAAGTAGTTGGTCTTATGACATTGTCTATTTGAATCGTTATAATTAGATAGCGAACAATAGATACAATACTCTGTACAACTGAGCTAAGTATTATCTCTACAAATAGATAACTATTGCTAACAGTACAATGGGATAATTATCACACTAATAATATTAAAATAATAACTATGACTCTTGCAATATTTGTGTGCCGTATGTACAGGGAACTCAGTTGGCTAACACGCCCCAGCAGTCTTAGCGGGGCGGTGGTACACGAACGTTAAGACTGGTTCGAAACTCATCAAAAAGGCATCGAGGCAGTCCTTTGGTAAAAAATGTCTGCATACTGAAAACAAGACGGGACATGAAGTACATGGATGTGACCGAGAGAAACATGTTCGCGAACAAAATGTATGTCCATCTCAATGTGTTTTGTTCGTTGATGCTAGACCGGGTTAATAGACATGTAAATAGCACTCATGTTATCACAATAAACCACAGAAGCACGAGAGAGTGGGTGATGAAGCTCAAACAATAAGTTGCGAAGCCAGCATAATTCGGCAACAACATGGCAACACCCCTATACTCAGCTTCGGCACTAGAGCGGGACAACGTCGGTTGGCGCTTAGAAGACCAAGATAAAAGATTATTTCCTAGAAAAATACAATAGTCGAAAGTAGAGCACCAGGTATCTGGACATCCGCCCCAGTCAGCATCAGAATATGCAATTAAGGAGGTGGAAAATGCCATGCGTGATGGTACCCTTAATGTATCGAATAATGCGTTTGAGAGCATGAAAGTGTGGCTCTCGGGGGTCATGCATGAAGAGACAAATTTGTTGGACCGCTAAGGATATATCGGGGCGAGTAAATGTTACATATTGGAGAGCACCGGCTAAGCTATGATAAAGAGTCGGGTCACTAACCGGAGCACCGGGGTGTCCAGGCTGGTTGTGCCAATGGGTGGACGGAAGAGCACTGGAAGCATGATGGGTGAATGAGGGAGGAGATGGTGTAGAAAGAGGGTATAAACTGTCTTGACTATCACACCGCAATAGGTTGGCGCCCATTCGGAGATCCTTCACAGAGAAACTGACGAGCACTTTGTCGTGATGTGCGTCAAAATAATAAATCAATACAACACTTATACGTAGTATAGTGTAGTAAGGTTCGTATCCACAGGGAAAGGAATACTTCTCTTTTTAATTAAATAGTAACAAGGGGTTTTTTAAGTTTGATTTGATTTAAGTAAATTAACATTAAAATGAATGACTTATGTGGTTTAATTAATAGAGATGAAGACTTGGTTTTGCTTTAATTTTATCCACTTAATGAAATGTTCATCAATCCCGATTATATCTTTAACTATCTTCCTCTCAAATACTCAATCGAGGAGTATATCCAGTTCATCGAGGGTAGTTATTAATAACGAGACGCGTTAATTAATAAGACTTACTACCGAGTCAATATAGAACACGCACCACATATTAACCCGATAGTAGCAATAAACTTAAGATGAAAACGATTGAGAATGACAATAACCTCAACACAAACGGTTTATTGGTTTTATCAATATAATTAATTCCCCTTAGATTATTACCCATGAGACGCATATAGTAATAATCCAAGTTTACTTCCGTGAAAGGACCGAACGATTAACAAGCGTATTCGTCGATCGATTCTAGTAATAATTAATAGATGAAACAAAACTAGCTGATCCTTTAAGTAATGTTCAAAATATTAATATGAAATATGAATAGGAATTAATTAATATTCAAGGAAGAAGATTAAAGAAAATAAATGCTACTATAACTAAAGTTGAGATGTTAACTAATTGTCATTATAGCAACACTCCCCAACATTAATATAGAAATAGATTAATTAATATTCAAGGAAGAAGATTAAAGAAAATAACTCACAACTTACAATTCATTAAGCTTCAAAGTAGCAAAACCAAGACGGAAGAGTTTAGCTCCTCATTTGGAAACCAAACATGATGAAAATATAAAGAAAAGACTTATCTAAACTGAGCTTAGAAGTATAAAGGAATTGGTGATTTTATTGTAAAGGAAAGGAGTGTATTTATAGGCTTTTGGGAGCTGCAGGGTCTGATACCCGATCGGGTATATAGGATACCCGATCAGGTATCTTAGGAAATTTCCCAGAAAGTCACTTTTCTGGACATACCCGGTCGGGTATGTAGGCATACTCGGTCGGGTATGAACCAAATCTTCAAAATCCTACACGTTTTTTTGTCTCTCCAGATTCTGATTTTGACACCCGAATCAACTCAATACCCAATCGGGTATTGCCTATACACGACCGAGTATATGAAATATTTTTTCAATCTTTCTTTTATCTTGTCTCCTTGCACTTTCTTTGATCTTTTGGGGTCCAATCTTGATCCTTTAAGCTCAGAATCATCCTAATCTAAACATATTACATCTATCTTGAAAAATAAACTAATAAATGCGGTAAATTTTAAGCAGTAAACATGGGATGATATGGTATATATGGTAAACAGTGGTAAGTAAACAATTTTAAGCTTACCTCCACAGCTTAGATGGTAAATTTTCTGAGCTTAAAACGTAGGTAAATGCGGTAAACAATTTACCGAAAAACGTAGGTAAATGCGGTAAAGTTTCTGTAAAGCAGGAAATTTTAGATATGGTAAACGCGGTAAAGACGGCCCTAGCTGCAGCAGCCCCCTATGTAGCACCGATACCGGTACGCGGAAACGCGGAAACGCGGAAACGGGTACGGGGATACGTCAAAACCAAAAAAAGTAGGATACGGATACGGGGCCATATTTATAAATATTAAAAGTTATGGGGGTGTATTTACAAATATTAAAAGTTATAGGGGTCTATTTATAAATATTAAAAATAGATTTTTTTTTGAATATATATATATATATATATATATATATATATACATACATATAATATCCTATGATGTCTACCCATTCATTGCATTGAAACATTTTCCTTTTTCAAGATACTTAGTAATAAATTCATAATATTTCTCATATACACTAGTGTATCTCGAAATATAAATGTAGTCAATAAGTCATTAATTTAAAATGAGAAATAAGTCAAACAACTACAATCTTGAAATTAAAAGTGCAAGTACCCAATTCGGAGTATGAGTTAATGACTTAATTCGGATATAGCCATATAGGCCCATTATTTGATTACCAAGTAAAATGTAGTTTTAGATTTTCATTTTTTTTAGAATTTTATTAAGTAAATTTTGGGATTTTTTTTTAAAAAAAGTTGATACGGGTATCCGTCAGGATACGAGTATCGGAAACTTTCAAAAAATTACACAAAAAAATGGAAACTTTTAAAAATTGCAGATACGGCCCGGGAACGTACGGTACGGGTATCCTAGAGTATCGGATACGGGAACGTATCGGATACGCCGATACGCTACCCTAGCGAAGTATCCGTGCTTCATAGGCAGCCCCCATCCTCGTGTCTGCTCGACCTCTCCAGCTATCTGCTTCAGGACAATAGTTCCGCAAATTAAACAATAGTAATTCTGAGGTATGTTCGCTCTCCACAAATCATCTGGTTGAATGATCCGCCCAAACATTCAGCAAAAGTTCTCAAATTTATAGCTCTATGTATAATTCTTTTCCTTACAAATAAAATAACATGGAATTTCAGTATTTGGCGAAATTGTGGCTACATTTAGAAGTTCATCTTTTCCTCATTCGTTTTTAATCTCGGTTAAAGCTTCCAAATGTGATTCTGAACGCGATTTCAATGTGTGGAGGTACTGGGTTTCCTAATTTGCTATTCACATGTTCTTGATCATTTAATTTAATTTGAGTTCAATTGATGTTAAAATGCTCTGGAGCATTTCAATCGTTCTTCTTGTTCTTTCTCAAAGGGCTGGATCATTTATTTTTGGTTTTTCATACATAAACAACACATTTATTTAGCCTACAATTACTATTTAATTTGGGTTGTCTAGAAGAACTTAAGAAAGTGTTTGTCTTTTTTACTAGAAACATGTTAGTGCAGAGTTGTTGGAAGAGATCTAGAAATAGCAAGCTTAGGATGCACCGGTGCACTTTTTCTGTTTGTGTAAAATCACTGTTGCTACACCACCTTACTGCCTCGGAGGCAGTACGAACAATTCAGAGGCTTCCCTGGAGCCAAAGGGAGGGAAATAGCAGCCTTTTCGCTGCCAGTATGGTCGTGCAGAATAAACTGCCCACAAGCCTTTCTGAATAGTCATATTAAGTTTATTGCTAGGGTATCTAAGCTTGGGCGGCTGGACCAGCAAGCCACCTTCGGTTTCGAGAGTTAAGACATTAAAAGAAGGAAAGAGTCCAGCTTGCTTCAATACGAGTGACTTAGTAGTCCATTTTTTCCTTTTTGCACCTAGCCACATTATTAGGAAAAGATGAGCAATCATGCCATATTGGTCCAAACTTCGTAAAGCTTGTGGAAACCTATGGAACTTTTCTAGGATATAGTAATTGTAGAAAGAATTAGAATTGGGTTTGAGTTTAACTAGTGCAGAGATGCTCAGTAAAATTCAGTATTGCTCAGCCTTCCCTTCTTCAATGAATGGCTTGAGGAAGAAACTAGCCTGCTCTTCTCAACATCTATCATCATAATTAATGTACAAAGACCATCATACCATTTCTACAACAACTATACCTAGTGACATATACAAGACCTACTTCTCTTTAATACCTAGCTAACTAACTATATCTCTGTTTCTTCCATTTTCATAAATAAAGTCTATTTTGAATATTTTCATTTTAAACTATATCACAGATTGTCAAAATAGTGTTTAGTCCTTACTCTTTTCGTGTGTGTTTTCCTTTTTCTTTTGGAATTTATTCTGAAAACCTCTTCTAGTTTTCTTCCCTTTTTAGCTTTCTGTTAGGTATACCGGTATACATATATGCTAGTTGGTTTTATTTATAGGCCATTGACTTTTTAATGTAATTGACTTGAATGTGCTAGATAAATGTAATTGTTAATTCTCGAAATAAAATGTGAAAGTAGTGAAACTTAATACACTGAGATCATATGTCCCACAATTGTTTAAATTAAATATCTTCTTTTACATTTTAGTTTTTCATTTCACATTATTATTTTGCCAAAAGTTTTGGTATATACAAGTATTATGTTTGTGCCTTTGTGGCCATAATCTACTTCAAGTATTTTAATTATTAAATAATTCTTTGTTTTATGATGTTTTAACAAAAAAACATGATTTTTATAAGCAAATATTGATGTAATATTTTCAAGGAAAAATATTAAAGCAACTAATAATCTAAACAATGAAAAAACATGAGATCCAATGTACTTTTATAGTTTTATGGTTCATATAATGGCATAATGCAAAAGGGATGCATGTATAATTTTAATTACATTCCCTCTAAAACCCCCTCTTTTCAAATATGTAACTCCCAAATAAGAGGAACGAATTCATGCCCATCTTCCTCCCCTTCCCTTCTCTCTACTCCCCCTCAAAGTCTTCCCTTCCCTGACTCTCAAACTCCCAAACATACCCTTAGGGAAATTTAGGTCTAGCAACTAGAGACGTGGACGGCTGCAGCACCGCCAGGCAGCGCAAGGCTCGGACCCTGAGGCGCAAGATTTAGGAATCACTGAGGCACAGAAGACTAGACTCAGTTCACTCAATCCCTCAGTTAAGAACTTCAGGTTTGCTAGCAGGCACAGGTGCACAGAGAAATGGTAGAGCAGTTCCAATTTCAGGTTTAGGCTTTCGGCTTTTGTGCTTTTGGGCATTTGCCACTTTGACTTTTAGTTACTTTTAATACTCAGTGTCAACAAATAGTAAGTCGGCAAACCCGACTCAGTATTCCACCTAAGGTTTTCGCCTATACTTGGCATTCGCCGGTCCTCATGCTCTCTATCCGACCATCATGGCTGATCTCCTTGTTGCCACCCATATGTGATTGCCGGAAGACTAAAATCCTTGTTTCTCTAATAAGGTAATAATATAGTTCTCTTTTTAATTAATCTTTAGATCTTCACGCTATTCTTTGGTCTGTAAACTAGAATCCTTCTGGGTTAAGCACGATGGCTGGATTTGTGGAGGATATATGTTTATAAATCTCTTAGCAATTCTAAAACATTGATAATTTGGCGGGTAACTATTGAAGCAAATGAAAAGTTGAAATTAGAACAGGGTTGGAAAATGGCCATGTCGTTTACTGGTGATGGATCTGTCTACCTACAAGGAAACCAACTTTGGAAGATTTACATGGGAGACAGGCTTTCCTGTTCCTTAATTAGGAGAACTGCAGCTGGAATAATGTAGGCATCCAGTACAGAATTGAAAGAGGGAGAGGTTGAAAGCTACATAAAGGAGTTTGCATCCAGTACAGTATTAATTTCAGAACCTAGAAATCATGAGGAGCTGCAGAAAAGTGAAGAAATAATTTTTGATATGGAGTGCGGGAAGGTGACTGAACCAAATGCAGATTCACTTTCTGCTGCTGAAAGTTCTGTGATTTTAAAAGATCTCGTACTGAAGTCCCTAGTCCATCAACTAGTTAGATATTGGGAAGGAAGAGGAACAAGGAAGAGGAAAAGGAAGCAGAAGATTTTGGCTATTTCCTATCACCCACCTTGAGGGCAAGGTGGATGTTTAGGGGGGGGGGTGTATTGATAGGAATGCAGCTGAAATAAATAAAGAGGATAAATACTTAGATGATATAATACTTAGTAAATAGAATAGTTAGTGGATAGTTAGTTCGGTTATTGCTATTAACTAATTCGGTTGTACTGAATAGCTATAAATAGAAGAAGGCTAGAAGTAAAGGGCAGGCTGTTTGACGGTTGTAGTCTGGACTGGGAAGTTAGAGATTAGTCATCTCTTTCTTTTGGGGGCTTCGGCCATAGATACTGTTCACCATTCAATAATGCTTGAGTTTGTTCTTTTCATTCTTGTTATAATTTCTGCAGATTAGTTGTATTTTCTGGATAATCCTATCATGGCCATGTTTTTCTAAAACTGGATCTGTGGTGAAGGGCTTGTGTTCATATCTGTGTTTGTGTTTCAGACTTTTTGCACTTGTAATTATGCATTTCTTTAGTTATTTATTACTAGTTTAACTATTTTAAGTTTTATTTGTTGGTATATTTTGAGGCTTACGCCTCAATGCGCCTCGAGGCTTAAGCCTCACCTCTCCTCTCCAGAACAAACTGCCTCGATATACCCAAACTAGCCTTTTTAAACCTTGTGTCTGATTGCATATGCTATAGAAGCTATGTAAAACATGGAGCGTAGTTGGATCAATTCCATTTGGACAAGCTACTGAAGAGTTCTAGTGGTAGTTGATGTGTGCGTGTGTGTGTGTATATATATACACACATATATGTGAACTCCACACTCGACTGCTCGTGTTTAGACGTTCAGTTCCCATTTGGTTCCGGAAGAACGGTTATGTAAACCTGTTTTTTGTTTTTATTTGTTTTACAGTGATTTTGTGCATTCTTGATAGGAACTCCAAATCCGTAACAGTAAATTGAGGTCTATTAGCAAGGAAAAGTACAGAAACGGGGAAGAAGAAAATACAGATGAGGCTCTTCGAGAGGCCTCACTCTCCCAGATCCCAATTCCAACTAATTTCTGTCTAACTCCTTATTCCTCCCTTCCCTTCTATTTATACTCCCGTACAAATTTTATTATTTTTGTTATTAGCACTAATCTGCCCGATTCCTATCATATCTCCCCCTTAGACAATCATCTTGTCGTGGGTGATAGGAAACAGCCCTGACCATCATCTTTATCCTTGCGCTTCTACCTTCCCAATATCTGACTGATTGTTGGAATTTGAGCTTTAGTACTTGAACCTTTATCATCACTTCCTCAAACCAGCATTTCTCTAAGGTCTTCACAGCCTTCATAGATCTCATTGTTGTCCGGAATCTGGTAATTTGCAGTCTTGTCTAGTCCTTCATAATCGTCAACCCTCTGCGCATATAACTTGAACCACTATTCAACCCCATTTCTTTGTCTGCTTTGCCTACTTTTGGAATGTTCTTCAGCCCTTCAAGGCATATAGTAACAATTCTTGGATCTTGACAGAACAAGAGATCATAGAGCATCTTAATACAGCCGCCAGCAGTTACTTGCCAAGCACCTAATTTGATCATAAGAGCCTCCAGATGTGGCCTTAGAGATAGCCCCTGAAGCACATATTTTAATGTTTTAGAGAATTAAAAAAATATGAAGATGCATTAATAGCTAGGCACAAAAAACTTATGAATAACAATTTCTTTAAATGCAACCAGAATAGCATCAATGCATTATGGATTTTTTTATCATAACAGTTGGTCTCCTGTTCCTTTTTACTTGCCATGAAGCAGAGAGAGGGTTAAATATGGCTGAATTAATTGCAGAATGAAGAGAGAGAGAGAGAGAGGAGGCGTTGTATTTTTTAATCTATGCCGCTCATTATATTTAATGGATGCTGCACTTTTATTCCGGACCAAAGTAATTCAGAAGACCAGATACAAATACTTGTCAATGCATATAATAGTGGCATGTCAGTTTTCTAATAAGTTTTAATGAGATAACAATAATTAAAATATGGAGTACAGTTACATGTGGTAGTGCTGCCGGGAATTAAATATTTTATTTCAGCATGCAAGAGTGAATCAGAAGTATCTCCATAGTCAGAAAGTTGACAGTTATTTAGATATGCTACACACACACACACACACACTCACACTCCGTCCCTATTTAAAAGTCCCACTTTCCTTTTCGGGTTGTCCGTAAAAAAGTCCCCTTATTTGGTAAACAAAATAGTTCAAAACAGTGCCAAACACTATCAAAACAGTGCAAACAGTGTCATTTCCTTAATATGTGTGCAAAAAGAAGTGGGACTTTTAGGTGGGATCAATTGTTTAGGTGGGAACAATTTTTTCTAACTATTCCAATTATATATATCTTCCCTCCTACCTATGCAGCACTGGGGTAATTTTGTTGTATTCCAATTTCCAATTATATATTATATATATCTATATACTAATGTACTTTTGGTCTCCTTTGGCAGATATGTGCGAGCAGCATACCAAGGTTAAATGTGAGATCCTAGCATGGATTGGAAGGGGTCTAATATATCGTTAATCGTGGACCCTAAGTTGAACTGTATGATCCTAGAACCAAAGTGACTATGTAATATTTATAAAATTTGCCTCTATGTTGTTTTGTTTTAAGCCCAATGCACATTGGCATTCCTGCATGGCGAGGGTTCGGGGAAGGGTCCCACCACAAGGGTGTATAAGGAGCAAGTCTTCCCCTGTGATTTGAAAAGAGGCTGCTCCCAAGACTTGAATTTGTGACCTCTCAGTCAGCAACACCATAACTGGTGCGCCAAGGATCCCCTCTAAAATATGCCTCTATATAATAACTTAAATTCAAAGTTCTATTATTTCACCCACAATATGACAATAATGATTAATTTTTAACATATGGTGAAGACTAAAATAAAATTCATAACAACCAAATAAAAAGAAGTTGAAAGAAAAATTGCAAAACATTTGAACATAATATCGCAATTACAAGAGGGGTTAGAACATAAATAATGTGTCATTTTCAAAATCACTCCAAGCAACACTGCAACACACTGATATTTCTTACCTCAATTACTTATTCAAGTCAGAAATTACAATCTTTCATTTCCATTTCCCTTCCCAATAGCCCCTTTGTCGGTCTTATCCATTTTAAGCTGTTGTCCTGATGCATTTATAATAATTTTTTCTCAGATTTATGTTATTGTAGATCTCTTCTGCAAATCTTGAGCCTCATCATCCCTGTTTTGAAGTATGAATATTTTCAAACAATTGGTGCCAATACCATTTTCTGTAAGACGCGCTACGAAGCCTTGTATTGGTAAATTACATTCATCTTTGTTTTTAGCATTGACAATCTTTTCAGTTTGGTGTGTGTTTGATAAGGATTAAAATGACTGGAGTGGCTGAATTTTTAGCTTATACGTGGTATATCTCGAAATAAGTTATTTAATTAATCTAAGAATATAATACCTTGAAATAATGACAAAAGTATCATTATTTTTTGGGAGACTTTGACTTTGCACCCCATTTTTAAGATCATTAATGTATGCACCCCATTAGCCCAAAAATTGTGAAGGAGTGAGGTGCAAAGTCAAATGATTTTACAGTGAATTGGGGTGCATACATTAATGATTTTGAAAATAGGGTGCAAAGTCAAATATCACCAAAAACATGGGGTGCAAAGTCAAATTCTCCCTTATTTTTTCATGTTAGCTAAAAAGTTACTCATGCACTAGCTGTTTTTCAGCAATCAGCTGTTCTCTTTTTCATTCACCTTCCCAAAGCATTGTGGAAGTTCATTCTCAAGAACATGAAGTAGCCATTGCTTTGGGCAGCAATATGGGGGATAGACTTCATAATTTTGATGAAGCCTTGGACCGTATGAGAAAATCTGGCATCCAAATTACCAGACATGGTTGTTTGTACGAGACCCCTCCAGCTTACGTGACCAATCAACCCCAGTTTCTCAATTCTGCCATTAGAGCACTTACAAAACTCAGGCCTTTTGAGCTCTTACAGGTTCTCAAGAAGATCGAAAAGGATCTTGGACGTACGGACGGGATCCGATACGGTCCAAGACCGATTGATTTGGATATATTGTTTTACGGTAACTTCAAGATACATTCTGAGTCCCTTGTTGTCCCACACGAGAGAATTTGGGAGAGACCGTTTGTTGTTGGACCGTTGATTGATCTACTCGGGTCCGATATCGAAAATGACACTGCAGCATGCTGGCATTCATTTTCTGGTAGGGATATTTTTGAGTTGTGGGAAAAACTCGATGGAAAAGATGATATGAAACGGGTGTTGCCTGTCGGTGACCGTTTTTGGGACTGGTCATCAAAAACATCTGTAATGGGTATACTTAATTTGACCCCGGATAGTTTTAGTGATGGGGGGAAGTATTTTTCTGTTGATTCTGCAGTTACACAAGCCCGTGCAATTCTTGCGGAAGGCGCGGATATACTTGATCTCGGAGCACAGTCCACCCGCCCAATGGCTTCTAACATTTCACCAGAAGAAGAACTAGGTAGGCTTGTTTTTCCGGCGTGAAAAGATTGCTCGTTTAAGTGCCTGTTTATTTAAGTTGTGTCTGGTTTAATCTGGAAAATTATTTGAAGTATACTCCCTCCGTTCTTTATTAATAGTCCCCTTAGGCTTTGGCACGGGTTTTAAGGGGAAAACAATAGGGGTAATGTAAAAGGTGTAGTGGTTTGTGTTTAAATGATAAAGTAGGAAAGAGAAAGGGGTAAGCGTAATAAAAGTGGGGGTAAAAAGGTATTTTGATAGAAAAAACTTACCAAAAAAGGAAAGAGAGACAAATAATTAAAAACGCCCCAAAAAGGAATGCGAGACAATTAATAAAGAACAGAGGGAGTATTTCTTAAGAAATAATGACAAATATAGAGATTTATAGGACTAAAATAAAAATACTAACAAAAAGATAAAAAAAATTAATAAGCGTGACCATATTGATATTTACACATTGATTTGTTGACCATTTCAATTTATGTTTCAGTGATTATACACAGTGGTTATGTTGGTATTTTCTACAGGTAGACTGATGCCCGTTGTTGAGGCGGTTACAAAATTGCCCGAGGCTGAAGGGAAGCTCATATCCGTGGATACCTTTTACTCACAGGTCGCGCTAGAAGCCATTAATAATGGAGTACACATTGTGAATGACATATCGGGTGGACGCATGGATTCCAATATGCATAGTGTCGTTGCGGGCCTCAAAGTTCCTTATATTGCCCTTCACACGAGAGGCTGCCCATCTACGATGCAGAATGCTGAGAATCTACAGTATGATGATGTGTGTAAAGAAGTTGGGCATGAGCTGTGTGAACGTGTTCGGGATGCTGAGTTGGCAGGAATTCCAGCTTGGAGGGTCATTGTGGACCCAGGGATTGGGTTCTCAAAGAACACTAAACAGAACCTTGATCTTCTCGCAGGTTTGGGAAGTGTTAGAACCGAAATGAGGAAGAGAAGTTTGGCTGTGTCACATTCCCCCCTTTTGGCTGGACCTTCAAGGAAAAGATTCTTGGGTGAAATATGTGATCGTCCGGTAGCTTTCGAGCGGGACTCGGCAACTGTTGCTGCTGTCTCTGCTGCTGTTCTGAATGGCGCCAATATTGTAAGAGTGCATAATGTTAGAGATAATTTGGATGCTGTAAGGCTCTGTGATGCAATGCTTGGTAGGAGGGATACAATTTATTAGAAAGATGTCAGAAGCTTATCCAACTCATAGAACTATTTCTAGTAACATATTCCAGTTTTGCAATTGCATAAGCTTGATTTTTTTAAAATGATACCTTCTATTGTTTAGAAATGTCTAGATGTTTTTGTGGAATTCGTGAAGTTTTTCTTGGATCTTAAATCATTTTTTAAAGCGTTGTACTAAATCTGTGATTAAGATAAAATACTCCAGCAATACAGCCTTGTTTCTAATACAAGTTAATCTTTTTTAGTAATGAACAATTCGTACTCCATGGATGTCAAGTTTTTGTTTAAGAATTATTTCATAATGGACAGTAAGTTTTTCTTCAATTTGGTAGGTATGATGTTTGTGTTAATTTCGTCCAGTTATGGCGCGTTAATGGTGTTATTGTATTTCCGTCAATAAGCTTGCAATGTATTAAAATTTTACATCCATAAAGTAAAACATCAAAATATGATTTGTTTAGTTATTTTTATGAATAGACAATTAAAAATATTAGTGATTAAAATGGTGAGTAGGTAAATGTAAATTTCAAAATAAACTAAAATACTAAGAGGTCATTTGATGACTCCTATTTCTGGCTAATCACGTTTATCAGCCAACTTTTTCACTCCACGTAACTTTTGATTTCGCAAGTTGAATTGTGTAATAATAAGAAAAAGGTTGAAGTTACACTTTTCTGACTGTATTGACTGAAGTTACCATAGAAGTTCATTTTAGCTATTTTTCATATAATTTTTCCTATATTCTATTAATAAATTATATTTTAAATATAATTTTTTCATAAATCAGCAGAATCAACCAATGCAGCTACTTCAGCCAGAACTTCATAAATTTCAGCAGAATCAGCCAATAAAGCCGATTTGGGTATTACCAAACGGGCTCTAGATAGGAATAAAGGTAATATTAATTTCCAATATGCATTTGAATTTGTATCTTGAAATACGTAGTAGTTTATAAATCTATATTGTGAATTTCATTTTTTTTCATTTTGATTATTTTTAAAAATTACAGATTATTTGTAATAATTCTGTCTTGTAGATTATATGTATAGGCGTTCCCATTTGCTCACATGAATTTCACTATGATAAATTGGAATTGATAATGTTTATTTTATGGGAATCTGATCAAATCATAAAGATTTAGGTCTAATTAAAAGATTTATATCGTTTTTTTTGTGAATGGAGGTTTTAAATCATTTTAGATCATAAAAGTTCTTATAAGATTAAAGATATTCAAACCACATAAGAGTTATTCTGATCAAATTGTTGTTGATGTTGTTACAGTAATACTAATATTGTTTTATTATTTTTCGCTACATACTAAATGCCAGAATCATTTGCTATTATCATTACCAGGGCCGGTCCTGAGAATTCGGAGGCCCTGTGCAACGAAAAAAATTGGACCTTTTTTTCCACGTTCCAAAGGCAAGTGATTTGTATTAAACTACAAGTTACTTAATAAACATAATAATAAAAATGAAAGTAGTCATTAATAAAATACCAATTATTCAAGTTCTTCCATAATTCTGTCATGTTTTAAAAAAATTAGGCTAAAATTAAATTTACATTATTCAAATACTTAATTGAATAATTTTTAAACACACTTATTCTCAATTCAATTACTTAATAAGTAATAAATTATTTAAATAAATAAGCAAATAACAATAAGGCAAGTAGGCAACAAACTGAACAAAGAACAAACAAATTTCAATACTTTGCAATTCAAAGAATCAAGACAATAGAAAAGTCATAGACAAATTATACTGCTGCAGTGCTTACCGGACTAGTCCTGGTCTCCTGTAGTCTGGAGCTGGAGTCGGGCGTCTCTGCGTGGTAGACTGGTGGGTGGTGGCAGACTGTAGAAGTGGAGAGAACTTGAACCTGGCCCTTGCTGGCGACTTGGCGAGTGGCGGACTGACGGCGAACCCCTTCGACCTTCGCAGTCCGTGTTACGACTTCGGCGCATTGGACTTGCGGTTACCTAACTACCTTCGGCGGTTCCTTACTTCAATCGTTCATTTGGTCGTTCCTTACTTCGCCGTTCAAAGCTTAGGAATTAGGATAATCGGATCTTGGGCTTAATACTACTAATAAAAAACATTTTGGGCCTTCCAAATTATAGGGCCCTGTGCGGTTGGGCTGGGTGCACCTGCCCTGGGCCGGCCCTGATCATTACTATTAGAATCTTATTGTTTTTGCTGATTGTTTTTTTAAAGTTTAATCTTCAACTTGTTTAATTTGGTGAGAAATGTTTAATAGTACTTGTTGGTGCATGGTGTGTTACAACCATTCTTGATGTACACATATTTTGTACATCTTTTGTGTATATCCCGTAGTTGTTTGTCTAATAGACAACTTCTGAATGAATTGCATGTGTAAATAGACAATGAGAAGGTGTACACAAAATATGTGTATCAATAACATTTGTGGGTGTTTCATGAGTTGTGACAACATTTCCGAGCACACAAGTTCTTGTAGGCTATGCTACGAAGCACTTAGATTCATAAGTTTTGAATTTGCCTAGTACAACGTATATACACGAGTACACGACTAAGGATGTTTTTACTTGGACTGTAATTTGCTGGTCTGGTCTGATCTGGTCTGGTCTGGTAAGGTCTGGTTTCTTTGTATTTTTATAACTATCCAAGTCTGGTCTGGTCTGAACTGGTCTGGTCTGGACTGGTCTGGTCTGGGACAAATTACAGTCCAAGTAAAAACATCCTAAAGGCCCGACTCTGCTTAAATTTAAAAAATGTTTATTTAATACGTCTAACAACGTATAAAGTTAATTATTAGAAAAACTTCTTAAGTGATTCATCCTAAATTTTTGTGTGGCTATGACAAAGTTTGATGGTTATAAAGTAGTGTTAGTTGAACTCCTCAGGTCTGAAAAGAGAATTGCGAGATGCAAATTTGCAACCACGTCCATTGACTCATTGAGGAGACATTTTGTAAAGGTATACTATAATAACCAAAAGAATGAATGAGTGACATGTATGAGATTGTGAAAAGAGTAACTAAGAGTGTGAGACTTAACAATGAAAAATGTGTATTAAATCGAAGTTGCACAAATTATTTATTGTCATCTTAAACTCTGATAAAAGGGCTTAAATTAACGATCCAAGCCCCGCACAGGCCCACAAAAGGAGCAATTCAAGCTAGGAAACTAAAGTTGTACATATGTTCGGTACATTTTGTTTGCTTTTTTTTTTTTTTTTTATAATCATGGTGTCGGAGCTTACACTCTGTTAAGATTCGGGATTCCATCCTAAATAGTCAACCTAATAGGAGGAGTAACACATATCTTAAAATAGCACTTTGTTTATTCAAACTTTTCCGTTGTGGAATCCTAACACATATACTACATATATTTGTTTTCATTGACTAGAATGAGTTTTGAATATGTGACATTCTCTTTAACAATGTCATGAGTTTTGAACCAGAAGAACATGAAAACAATGTCATGTTTGTTTTCATTGACTAGATCTTAATTCATGATTTGATTAATGTCTCATAATAGACACTATATATTTTCTTAAAAACGGTCCTATTAAATCTCCAATTGGCTCCTCTTGCGTGTGTTGCGTTGTTCAGTTGTGATTCAACCAGGCCAGCAGGGACTAGCTAGCTAGATATTAATTTCATATTAGATTATTAGTCAACCTTGGATGATCAACTTGAGTATCTAACAAAGTTATTAAACAATTAAGTCCATAAATTTCTGGTTTCATATTTGATGGTCCCTCTAAAAAACCAATCACTCATACCAACCTTCACCAACATTTGTGCGCTGCTGTCAATTTCCATATATGTATTACGGAGTACATATTTATTACACTCCTCCATCACTAGACTTCCTCATATTTTCTTTCTTATTTGTCTCGATCCCTACGATTTTCTTTTAGAGTGATGAATTCATTATTCAACTTATTCACCTATTCTTTGCACAAATTTGAATAACATAATTTTTATTTGAAATTATAACAAATAGATGAATGAAATAGAAGTATTGAACAAAAATATGATTTAGTAACTACACCTAGTAATTTTAGTGATCATGATTGTGCTAAACTTTATCACTATACTGGTACTTAGTATTGCATATTTTTTTGTCCATTAGTTATATTTCAATAATATTTGTTTTTGTTATTTCACAACTAAGTCTAAACGGAGGTAATATATTATACTCCGTATAATCATTGTCATATTTTTTAATGGATTTACTATATGCCTCCTTTGTTTGACATTTAATCATGCATGGTCATAAAATCCAATTGTAGTTCGTCAACCATTGTGACTACTGAACTACTTCTACTTTATTCCCATATTTATATTGTATTTTAATCAAATAAACATACTACCTCCGTTCTCTTTTAATTGCAACATTGGACTTTTTGCACTATTCACATATTCTACTTTGACTATGTTTTATTCATTAATGTATTACAAATTAAAATTTTAAAAAATATTTTAAAATTCTTCTCATTCTAACTTTTCAAAATCCTATTTTTTGAAATTTTTTAATAATATGGAATGAAAGATATTAACGGTCAAACTCGTGCGTTGGCAAATGTGAAATGTGGACCGTTGCAATTAAAAAGGAACGGAGGAAGTATAATTTATGACTTCAATTCAAAGAATGCAAATGCGACCTGTCACATATTCACACCAGACAAACCAAACAAACATACATAACTCAACTTTCCGCCATGTACTGTTACGTTCACTCGTTATTCCAACTTGATTTTATTAAACATTTTGGTCGACACTCAACTAGCTAGCGATTGGGTATTTTGATTAGCTAATTTATTGAAATAATTCCATATGATCCATAGTAATACATGAAATTAAAGTAAATTGTAATGGATCGGATCGGAAGCCCTTCACTAATATAATGGGAAATTACGTAGTACAAAATCTTGTTATGAAATCGTATCAATTCCTTATTTCCTCACAAATCCCGTTACAGAACTAACAATTTTATTTTGTAGTACCGTAAATGGTAATAGATTTTTTACAAAATAAATTGGAAATAGTCTTTTTTTTTATAATTTATACGGAGTACATTAATAAACTGGACATATTTTTTAATACATTTTATTGGCAAATAAATGCAATCTACTTATCTTCATTAACTATAGTCTTAAATGTAGTAATGCGACCCTCGAAATCGGTACATTATGATGGTCAAATTTAAAAGAGTTCAAGTGTTCAAACCTACATGCTACATAATTAAGAGTGCACGTG